TCCTGAAAGTGAAGCTGTTAAGTTCTGAGGTTCTTAACTATGCTTATTTTGCTTCTATGATTCACCAAGACATATGTTTTTGGCTGAGTTATTGGACCCAGTTGGGAGTCTCGCCGTTGGCCAAGACTATAATTTGGGGCACGCGCCACGCTAAGCTCAACCTAGGCCACTCCAGTCTTATTGATGGTGCTCGAGAATATTTTGAAACATTTGTGAGCCACATGGACAAGGTGTTTTATCAGAGCCTGTTGAAAGGGCTGTAAGGTGGAGAAACTATCTAACCCATCCCTGAACTTCTCCACCCCTCCCCTTAGGCTTCGTCAAAAAGCTTTTGCACACCGTTTATGACGAAACAGCGCCGCTTTCAGTGGTTTCTGATGCCCTTCTCTGCACCCTCGATATCAAAAAAAACTTGATTATTGTGGCTAGAGATTACCTTCCTGCATTCTTCCTTATCCTCCTGACCTTTAACCAAAGCCACACCTTCATAGCCAGCTGGCACGTTGAGGCTGATCTGAAGCAAGGTAGAAACTTTAGTATTTTTGTCTCTAAATTTTGCTCTGTCTGTTTACCTTGAACCCAAGTGGTGAGCATTGCAGCTTGACCAAGCCTTGAGCGTCTGTCGAAACCGATGAAGGCGTAGAGATCGTAGGTACGATTGGCACATTAGCTGCAACGATACTTGACTACTGAGTACTGGAATATTTGGGGCTGACTTCAACTTCATGGAGGGGACATTTTGCACGAGCCTTGTTTCGTTTGCTAGTTCATGCCAATGTGAAGCTAAAAATGGCACAAGGGAGTCACACTAGTCACAAGGTCTTCACGAGGTAACCTGTATAAGCTTGAGTGCCTTCTAGTGCCCCACCAAGCCTCACTGGCTTGGCACAGGTGCACTGCATAGACCTCCATGCCAAGCCCGGTTCCAGAGAACATGTCGATGATGTAGTAATTTCGCAGCGCCCACATTGCTGAGCCTTGAAGACCATGACCTTGTTCTCCAGGATGCATAGCACTCACCATTTGTGACAGCTGGCAACTCTTCTGTTTCTTCTTTCTCTTCTTCCTGCTCCTCTTCTTCCGTGGGTAAAGCAATCGTTATCATTCCATGACTATCTTTGACTTCAATTGTATCGGCTGGATGAAGGAATTCGTGGAAGAGCAAACTTCACTATATAAGTTCCGGGATTTTGTAGATGAAAAAGGTGAGAAGCACTGGTGAGTGCACCGCGGATTCGTAAATCCCCTAGGGTGTAGGCGGCACTAAGAGTTCGGCCTTCACAGTGTGACGTGCCGATGTACCAACGTCAGCAGGGTTCTCACGACCCTATCCAGAGGGATTGAAGCAAGTTAAGCTTGAGCGGATTGACTCTCGAACTTAAGATTTTCCCGGGTTTTGTGGGCCTGGTAAATGGCGCCACACTCCTCTACACCATCAGCGGGACATCTTAATCTTTATCAATCAGCCCTCAAGTCATTCAGTCGCATAATTCAGTCCAAGCCCAGTACCAGCTAAACGAACCCGGAGGGGTGAAGGGCTTGGTTATTCAGGATTAGATTCAACTCGCTGAGGTCAACGGGCAAATTCTCGATGTGCAGTTTGTCGATTTGAGAGCGGCGATGCTCATACGAATTCAAGCATTGACAAGACTTCATGACGGGTGATATCGAATTTCCCCATCCCTTCCGCATTCACTCTCATGCGACCATGCAAGACGACTCGTCTATTGGGCGCGGCGTCGCTCGCTACGCCCACCAGCGCCTCATATTACGATTGTCTTGTCACATACCCCCACAATTGGTACATCAGCAGCTCTACCCGCGAATTGAAAAAGTAACAAGCTCAACAGAGCGTGATAAAGGCCTAATTGGAACGCTATTCATAGGGGATCGTCGCCCACTTATCCCAACGATCCTAAAGGTGAGAGAGAAAGGAAATGTATTCAAAGGATAAAACGTGCCTGTTTGGATTGAATTGATGCGTGCAGCGAGCTTGTGCGAGAGGCTATTCTTTGATGTCGGTATGAAGTTGGAAGACGTTGTTCATGTTTCCTGAAGTAAGTCAGTCTAAACTCTAGAAAGAGTTCAGCGTCAACAGAAGTAAAAAGTGCTGAAACCCACGTACCAGTCAGATCCATAAGATACTGCGGGTTTGCTTCGAGGGTGGCGATTACTAACACGGTCAAATTATGTTTCTTGGCGACCTAAAGGAATTTATTGGGTTGTTTTCATTGGAAGACGATTTTTAGGACATCAGTGAGGTGATTCTTCATCAATAAATCTGCATAACCACCTCAACTGGCTCCCGAATCCGATCGTCTGATTGTCCATCGGTCAATATAACCAGGACATTCTCAGCATCTGGGCGATCTCCCTGTAACGCAATGTTTATTGTTATCACTTTCTCACGCCATCCAAAGTTTGAGTAAAGTTAAAATGGCAAGGATAGGCAGGCGGAATGGAAAATTTAAGATAAAGAAGAGAAACGTTGCTAGTTGGTCGAAAGTCCGTACCCGATTCTTCGTGAAGGCGAATCGAGACACTTTCTCAAGCGCTTTGCCAAGCATACTGCCACCCTAAATCAGAGCACTTTTGTAAATATCCCTCGAATATGAAATTCACTTGATTCAAGGAATGAAAAATATAGAATTTAACGATTTCTCAGGTTTCATGATTTTTCTTTATGTCATGTATATGTATATTTATGTATCTTTATGTATGTATATGTATGTATACATGTGTTTTACTCAGAATATTTGACTGATCCTGCGTATTATGAAGTTCGAGGGTCCTCAATAGCTGCCGCCGAGCGGGAGGGGAGGAGTATAGAGCGCACTTGATATGGGGAAAAGCCGAGTGAAACAACGATTGAAAACATTTTTCGAAAGCAGAGGCGAACGCGACCCCTGCCCTTTCAACAGCGATCAGATACGACCCCTCCCCCAGCTGGAGATCACCAAGGTCTCCAAAATACGACGTGCATTTGTAGTGGTTCGGTTCAGAAGAGGGGCATTTTGCGTAGAACTATAATGTTTTGACGGCTCCAAACGGTGCAAGTGAGTCTTCCTTGTCAAGGAAATTTGCATGTCTTGCCAAGTGGCGTGCACAAGTTTGCTAGGTACCATTTGTGCTCCCACTAAGCCGAACTGCGCGGGATGTTCTTTTGTTAAGCGAAGCACGCTGACACGAAAATGCTGCACAATCA